TTCCTGGGAGCCAGCCTCTGGTCAGTTTCAGCAGCAGGTGAATCGGGGACAGCTGGGGGGCTGCCAGGTTGGGTCCCGCAGCTCCGAGGGGCAGTGCTACGGGACCAACCCAGCAGCACTCCAGCTGCTCTGCCCTAGGCATCCCCGATTTAGCCGCTGGTCAGTTTTAGCAGCGGCTGAATCAGGGAAGCTGGGGGCAGAGCAGCTCCAATGGTCCGGCTGCCCGGAGCACTTCCAGGTTCCTGATGGTGCCAGACCATCAGGAGTGCCGGACCATCAGATGCCGGACCATCGGAGTTTTACTGTATATGCAAATAGCTTATTTCACACTGACGGGGGGCATAAATACAAAGCACTTACCACAATGCCTCAGCGCTCCCAGTACCTTCTCCCTGGGGGCTAGAACTGCCCACACCCTGTACCTGTCTGTTCTAGCCAGCCCATCTGCTTGCGTCTTTCAGTGCTCACCCCACCTGGGAGATGCCTCACCATTGTGGAGCGTGTTCCCAGTGGAGGCCATGTTCAAAGGATCCCGCCCATGGGCTGCGTGTTGAGCCCTGTGTAAATCTACACTTCCCCATGGGCCGTGTGTTGAGTTGCCCAGGAATAGATTACTCTCAACGTACTCAATAAATGAGTGAATAGCGCCTTTCCATCGACTGTCTGAGTCTGCGGAGGGATGTAGTATGAGCACTGATAAATTGTCAGGATCTATTGCAAAGAGGAGACAATCATTAGTGCTACTAAGATTATCTGTGTTGTGTCCTGGTCTCAAGCTAGATTCTTAAGCATCTAGGATGCCTGAAGATACCTTGTTTTTTCTGGAGCTTCATAATCACTGTTTCAGTGTTGCTTGGTAGGAAAGGGAGGCTGGATGGCAAAGCCCCCCTCTGGCCGCAGCATCATAACACCCCTGCACCTCTCCGCACATCCCAACCCCGAGCATATCATACACCGGAAACCCCCGTCCTGAGTCTCTCTCATTCCTAGTCTTCTGCCACAACACTATGCACCATCCACACACTGCAAATCTGGGTCCTGAGCCCATCATACTCCCAACCCCCCTGCCCTGAGCCCCTCATACATCCCAATCTGAACTCCAAGCCTGTGGCTTGCTCAGCACCCAATCCTCCCCCTGACCCCAACACTCTTCAGCCTGGAGCCCCTTCCCTGAGCCAGCAGCCCCTTCTTCACCTCCTCCTGCACCCAGATTCTCTCCCAGAGCTTGCACCTTTCACCCCTTCCCACACCCAAATCCCTCATTCCCACCCCAGAGCCCGCACCTCCTGTATCAACCCAGTGAGAGTGAGTAAGGGCTGGGGACAGCAAATAATGGAGAGGAGGGGAGCAGAGGGGGGGGGTCTTGGGGAAGGGATGGGGTAGATCTTGGCTTGCTCTGACATTTAAAAAGTGATCTCAGGTGTAATAAGGTTGGAGGCCACTGCTCTACAGGTAGCGTGAGTGGAGACCGAGTTAATCTTGGGAACAGAGGATTGGGTGCTAGGGCATTGTGGTTTCTGTCTAAGTGTAAAGTTGCAGTGAGCTTTTGAAACCCTAGCCCTATTGTAGGCATGAAGTGAATAGTAACTAAATATTCCAGTGTCACTGTAATGTCCTGCTTGGGGTACCCAGAACTGTAAGCCATAGTGTTACCCCAATCAACCTCAGCTGCTGCTTCGACATACCACCTCATCTATCTGCCAGTCCAAATGTTTCCTTTCAGGTAATGGTCAACAAACCCCAATTCACAAATTCCTCAGAGATACCTCTCTGCAGCATCTCTCTGGATATTCTTAGATGTTAAGTTCACTGCCTGCAAAGAGACAGAAGATACAGTAACTTACTAATTTAGCTGAAGACTCACACTTCACTTTAATACAGAGTGTGACGGGATTCTTGGGGTACAGCCTGCGACTATGGGACTGCTACTCTCCAGTCTGGGCTGTCTCCCGCAATGCTTTGCTAGTGACAAGCAGCAACTCTCCTCCAGGCTGTTATCACTCATTACCCAGCCAGATTGCATTAATTCTTCCAAAGTCGCTCATGAATCACCCCGAGAAAGGTACCAACCAAATCCCACTATTTGTAGCACTGTACCTGAGGAAGACCTAAAATATGATGGTTGGGCAGCAGTGGACACTTGTCCCTAGCAGGCATTCTATTTTACAGAACCCCATGTTTGTTTCAGGGACAGGTCACAATGGAGGCCTGCAATGCATCCTGCGGCCTCTATGCTGCCTAAACAGTATGAAAACTAGCTACCTCTGCAGCTAAAAAGGGTGTAAGCTATTTTTCATTTTTAATTAAACATTTGATTCAGGAAAAGAATAAAGACCCTAATTCCATAATTGCAATGGAAGTTTGAGGACAAGGAATTTCAATAGCCCAGCTGGAAAAGCAACTTCAGAAGTCAGTTCCTTCCTCATGTAATACTTATTCTGTTTAATTGTAACATTTGTTCTTTGAGATAAAGCTTCTATATAGCATACATTCCAATCCTGCAACCAAAGTTATCAGAGACACATTTTCAAGTCATATTATTCAAAAAAAGATGTTGGTTGCAAAAGCCCAGTTATTGTTGCTAAGTGACTACAGAGTAGTTTCTTACCAGATCATTTACATAATCTAGGCACTAAAAGCAAAGAAATGAATAGTTAAATACATAAATCTTGCACAGCCTGCAATCACATTTTTATTTAATACAAAGAAAGGCTTGAACTCTGACTTCAAGATTTCAACATCTTGATTTCAGCATCTTTTAACAGATACAGTTCAGACAATATAGTTAAACAATTGATTACATTTTTCATGAAATACGGTTGCTGTTTGAAAATAATGTACAGGGAGTTTAATAGCAGTGAGTATGACTGTGATCTTGGGTGCCCCTCCATACCAACTAACAGATGGCACACCAAACTTTCTCCTATCAAGTCTTACCTATATTCTCCCAACACCCGGGCATCATAATCATATGGAAGTTGCTAACAGGCTGGTTCCCCCCAAAAAATCACTCTGTGAGGTACGGTCAAAGCATTCAGAAAGAGTTTGAGTGCACTGAAATGATGTTCTTAAAATGTGTTTGGCAGGGACTATCGAAGCCCAGTCTGCCCTAGCTCAAGGAATGTGTACTTATCTAATCAGCATAATCACAGGCAGAGGACAATGCATGCACATTTAACATACGAAAGGTAAACAAAGCCATCATACTAAATAAGCAGAGAAGACTGCTTAATGATCACACCGCAGAGCAGAATCTGCATCTCAGGAAATCTTCATGGCTTTTCCAACAGAGGCCATTCACTAAGATAAGGGGGAACAGAGACATTTTATTTTTCTGTCACTGATGGGGACTTGGGGTTCAGTGCCCTGTGAGCCTGTGAAAGCTGGATCCTTGTGGCCTGGAAGGAAAGAATAGTGGGAAACTGACACAGACTTTAAAGTGAGAGGGGCTATCACGATCATCTAATTGGACATCTTGCACATTGCAGGCTACAGAACCTCACCTACCCATTCCTGTAACAGACCCCTAACCTCAGGCTGAGTTACTGAAGTCCTCAAATCATGATTTGAGAATCAGTCATTTATTCTAATTCAAACCAGCAAGTGACCCATGTCCCAGGGGAAGGCAAAACCCCCCAGAGTCTTTGCCAGTCTGACCCAGAAATAATGCTTGCACTCTGTGACAGACACATGAATAGCCTGTCCAGACATGTCCCAACAATGGCTCCCCCTCTTGCCAGAAAACTTGAAACACATACTTAATAATTAAAACCAAGAAGGGTAAAGGTGTCTCACCCCAGGGACACACAAGTGTTTCAAGGTGTGGCCTGTTTCAAGGCTCTCCAGTCTCTTAATAATGCATATGCCTAAATGCTGTTTACTTAGTGTGTGCTCAACCTCACAGCCTGAGTTGGCATTGAAGTGTTTGGGGCTACGACAGGTCCATGTTGAACAGCTGACCTAATTCAGAAGAAGGTGATCCTTTCCCATTTACAAGAACACAATGTGAGGAGCTGTCGTAAGAGATGGAATGTTCCACAACACTTGTCAGAGAGGCCTGTGAGTTTCAAGATCAGTCAGAGTGATTCCCTGTCGATCTCTGCCTTGAGATCCACAAATACGATGTGAATGGGGTGCTTGACTTCTCTTTTCTCTTTTCTTCTAAGTAAGCTGTCATGTTGTGACATTTGCTCTCATGGAACATCCAAGAGTAAGGGTATGTCTACACTACCACCCTAGTTCGAACTAGGGTGGTAATGTAGGCAACCGGAGTTGCAAATGAAGCCCAGGATTTGAATTTCCCGGGCTTCATTTGCATATTGCCGAGCGCCGCGGACTAGGTAGTTCGGACTAGGCTTCACGAGGAGTAACGGTAGTTCAGAATAGGAAGCCTAGTCCGAACTACCTAGACCGTGCCGCGTGTAGCTGCACGGCACGGAGTCCGCACTAGCGGACATTTAAAAATGGCGGCGCCCTGCAAGATGCAAATGAAGCCCGGGAAATTCAAATCCCGGGCTTCATTTGCAACTCCGGTTGCCTACATTACCACCCTAGTTCGAACGAGGGTGGTAGTGTAGACATACCAAAACCACCTTGTTGTCTTGTCTTGCTCCTTAAGATAGCAGCAGCGTGGGCCAACAAGACCAAAGTAAAAATGTTCTCAGCATTGGATAGAAGAGTAATGCCATAGTAGTTTAAAAATGCCTTTTTGCTCATTGGGCAGGATCCACTCTGTTCCCCAGATAATAACAGCTTCTTCACCCACAAAAGAATGGCTTGTCCAGAGCTTTTTAAGAGTTCTGCTAGAATTTCACAGATTGTTGTCACCTTATTTCTCTTATTTCTATCATATCCCTGGGAAACAAAGGTTAGTTTCAAAGCAATAGTGTACATTACCTAATCATCCACAGAAGGCCTGCTGCCAAGATTATCCACTGAACTTTAAGCTATAAAGGAAGTTGTTTTGGGCCAGATCCTTGATATCTCATTGATAGGGAAAGTCTGAGTTCATATGGCTGAGGTCTCCAGATCTAGTCTGGGTTAACCCTGCAACTTTCATGGTAGAATTTGAATCTGCACATTGGACTACCTATTGGAGTATACAGTAATCTTTTAAATTGATTTCAAAAGGATTTTTACAAATCAGTGACCTCACCATCTCTGCTATGAAACTGATTTGTATGTATAATGATCATTAACTATATTTTTTCTTTTTTATTATTAATCAATCCTAGCTTTAGTTAATAAGGATTGGCTGTAAGCGTGCATTTGGGTAAGATCTGAAATACTCATTGATTAAGGGGTAATAGATTTGCTTTCTTGGATCGGGTAGAACTTTATATATTGTGAATAACTGTTAGACTTAGTTGTCTGGGTGGAAGCCAAAGTCTGGATTGCTTACTGGGAACTGTGTTTTGGTTTTTCGGTGACCAGAAAGGCATTTCAAAGGCTGTTTGGTTACTGGCTTGGGGAAGTGTAATTGTGGATTTAAACCCCAGTTTGGGGATTGTCTGCCCTATTTGTAGTTTGCTATGGAAGAACATCCTCAGTATAGCTCCTTCAGTGGCCATGGTCACAGTCAGAGACAGGATACTTGACTAGGTACCCTCTGATATGGCAACTCGTGTTAATCCATTTATTAGGCTTTCACATTGTAAGTCTGATCCCATTCCCCCATGAAGTTTAATTTTACCTCACTTTTTCACGCAAACATCAAATACTTTCGCAGCTTCTGTTGTTCACTTATTTTTCTATCTGTCTATCTATCTAGGCTTTGATGACTGGTAGCATACCTGGCTTCATTGATGTTATCATGAATCTCAATTCACCAGCACTCTTGGAAGACAACCTGATATGGCAGGCAAAAACAGCTGGGAAAAGAATAATCTTTTATGGTGATGACACATGGCTTAAATTGTTTCCAAAACATTTTGTGGAATATGATGGCACTACCTCATTTTTTGTCTCAGATTATACTGAGGTAAGAAGCTTTTTCATAGTCAAATTAGATATTGAGACACAAATTTATCAATCTTTTAGGGAATCCGTTTTCAAAAACCATTGACCATGTTTTGGAGTATGCAATAACGTTGGCTGCTAATTGAAAACTATGAAACCAGGGATTGTCCTTCAGTAGCTTGGCACTTGGCAGCCCTATAGTGTATCTGTATTATATATATAAAATAAATAAATACATTGGGAGTCTTTTCAGCTGAAAGGGGTAGAGAGCGGGCCAAGACTTGCTACCTGCAGTTAGGTTCCTGGATTTATATTTGCTGTGTAAATCATCTTGATTTTCAAAATTGGTCAACACTCTCTAACTTCTTTAGAGCTTAAGGTTATGTCTAAACTACACCCCTCTGTCGGCAGATGGGATGTAAATTAGACGTATCGAAAGTGCAAATGAAACGGGGATTTAAATATCCCGCACTTCATTTGCATAATGGTGGCCACCGCTTTTTTCGAAACGAGGCATTTCGAAAAATGAGTAAAGGATCTTTCGAAATGGGGCATTTCTGTTGACAATACTGCTGGGGTTTTTTTCCGAAAAGCCCCGTTTAGAAAAAAAGTGGTGGCCACCATTTTGCAAATGAAGCATGGGATATTTAAATCCCCTCTTCATTTGCACTTTTGATACATCTAATTTACATCCCTCTGCCAACAGAAGGGTGTTGTTTAGATGTACCCTAAATGTGGTGCCAAATGAAATAACTTAATTTTCTTTTAATTTTCTTTTCTTTTATAAGTAGAATAGAAATATGCTTTTTTCTGAAATGTTTTGCTTTCATCTACAAGGTTGATGATAATGTTACCAGACATTTGGATAGTGTTTTAAAAAGAGAAGACTGGGATATTCTGATACTTCATTACCTAGGATTGGACCATATTGGTCATCTGACTGGACCAAACAGCCCTTTGGTGGGACCAAAGCTTTATGAAATGGATAACATCCTCAAGAAGATTCATACATCACTCCTCTCAAAGGTGAAATATTTCTGGACATAAATCTAATAGCAGTAGACTAAAACTGCTGTAATGTTTCTGGGAGACGTGAGAAAGTTCTTTCAATATACTTCAAATTTGAGTTTCTTACTCTTTAGGAAGTATGCAATGCTGAAGCAATACTTCCTGTTTTTAAAGGTTTTACTTACTAAACTTTCATTAAAAGATGTCCTTGAATACACTGACCAAACAGGGTGCCTAAAGTTAGTTAACTAAAGGCAGATTTAAACTCCTAAATACAATTTGCTTTTTAAAAGTGGTGGTGAGCATGCAAGAGCTGCTGTTGAAGTCATTGGAAGAATAGACAGTCAAAACTCTGCAGGATCAGGTCCTGTTTTAAAATGTTCAGAGTATTACAATACTCTATAAAAGTGCAGTGCATCTTAATGTGATAGGCTATAGCTGTTTGGATGCTATTTATTTACGTTCTGCTGTGCTAGCATTGTATGTATTTTCTGATCAATATTAACATACAAGAACACTGTCAGTTAAAGTTCAATGATAACCAACACACAGCTGCAAAAATAAGGGGAATTAAGTTCAAGTATATAACAGTACTCCACTGAAAGCCATTATTTTGGAACTAAAGCCACTATTATGCCCGAGGAATTTGTGCCTCCCCCCCAAAAATCTGTACATTAAGATTCTAAAATTCTGCATATTTTATGTGTCAAAATAACACAATATAATCACACCAGTTAGCAATTTATTTCAAAATACCCGACAGAAAATATGTCTGTATTGTTACAACAACAAAAATTGAGGAATTTTTTTTGACAAATAGATTCCTTACTAGGCACATTAATACAGAATTTTGAGTAATAATTCATATAAATTACAATATAGAAATGTATTTTCCGCACCTCTCAGAAGCAGTCCAAAGGCGTAACAGAGGAGGTGAGGGAGAGGAAAGTACAGTAGACTTCCGATAATCCGGAACCTATGGGATTTAGGTGGTGCCGGATTATCAGATATGCCGGACTATCAGGAGGTACTATAAGCAGGCTATATATATACTGTATACATTATATATGTAAAGTGTTCTTAACCCTTTTTATTGTACGTACTGTATACAGTATACTGTAATGTTTTAGTTTTTTTTAAGCCTTTTTTACCTTTTTTGCTCAGTTCAGCTGCTGCCGCTGTTACCTTGTGACTCTTTTTTTGCCAAAGCTCACTCAGTAGGCTCTTGCCATTTTGATGCCAGACTATCGGGAGTGCCGGACTATTGGATGCTGGACTATTGGAGTTTTACTGTACTTGTTGGGAAGGAGTGTTGGATTGAACCTAGAGGGTTGTGAATGTGGGTGGAAGAAGTATGCAACAGTTTATTGTGGTGGGGGAAGGAGGATTGTTCAGTAGTTGGAGAGTCTCCCCCATTTAGTTGATCCATAGTGTCTTCCGTCAGTTAACTGTCTGTCCTTGTCCCCACATGACCTGCACCCCCGCTTCCTCTTCAGCCATGCATATTTGCCCTTTATCCTCATGTGGCCTCGCACTCCTATACCGATTCAGCCAGCCCCTGACTCAATGTGACTCCTGAGCCAGGTGGTTACTCTGAAAGAGCCGAGTATTTATTAGAGTAGCCATTATTCTGTCTTAATTACCTTTGTCCTTTCAAAACATTCATTTTGCACAGGAGCACCACATTTGATTTAGCTGACCAGTTTAATGAAATCCGGAATCTTCAGCATGGCAGCTGTTGCATTCAGGAAGATTATTATTTTAATGAAACAGTGAGTGTATTCAGGAAAGGAGTCTCTGAACCAGAAGCATGGTTTCATGAAGAACATAACTTCTCAACACAGTTGTTATTCCTTTCATGCTGGGTTGGGGAACCTTTTTTGGATTGGGAGCCACTGACCCACTGAAAAATCAGTCAGGGGCCGCACACAAATGAGAAGCCAAAAAAAAAGACACATTCCCCTCTCACAGCAGAGCATAGGGAGTCCCAGGCTAGTAGATTATTTTGTGTGGTGGAGCAACAGAGGGGCTGAAACACCAGCAAGGGCCAGTGGCAAAGTGAGGAGGGAGTGGAGGGGCAGTTACCTCTGGGTGCCACGCTGTGGGGGAGGGTGCCAATTTAGTTCCCATCCACTCTCCTGTCATCCCTTGGCTCGCCTGCTCCTCCTCCGCCTGCTGTCGGTAGCTGGAGCTTCCTTCCCACCTGTCCACCCCCAGTCCAGTCCTCCTCCATCTGCACCAGCGGGTTAGTGCATATTGGGGCCTGACCCCAAACTGGAGGGGGCGGGGGAAGATGTGGTACAAGCTCCCCTCCCCCCTCCTTCCAGGGTCGGGCTCATCTGTGTGCCAGGTTTGGACCCCCGCCATTCAGCAGAGGGGAGGGGGCAGAAATTTTGCTTTTGCCCCATGGCGCATAACACCCTCGCTACGCCTCTGGTGTGGGCTCAGGGACCTGGATCCAGGCAAGTCAGGGGAAACGTCCAGCCCCCAGGCCTGAGGTTCCCCACCCCTGCTTTAATGAATGCGCTTTTTAAGGCTCACAAAGGCCCTTGGACTAGTAACATCCATTTTGTGTGCATTGTAGCTTCTAGCTTTGGATGCAAGAAATGTTACTGAATGCATAAAATTAAGTTGTGTTGTACTTTCTAATTATTGCAAAGACTTCTGCATATAGCATCAGAAGTATTTGTTGTAAATTGAGTTTTCTGTCAACTAACTGCAGCACATAAGGTTACAATTACGATTACAAGGATTTTTGGCAAATCATAGCATACTCCACAAAGACTCCCAAGGTCTTTATGTACAACTTTTCTGTTTTCTGTTTGCATTTGAAGCTAGAAGGACACCAAAAGTCTTGAGACTCAAAATAGACTTAAGGTCAGTTTTTAATTGATCAGAACTCAAGCTAATTGACTTTATTTAAAATTTATCAAAAATCAAGTATGGTTTATTTTTGGATATAAAAGTATCTGCTCCATGCTTTTAGCACAGAGGTTGATCTCCTGTTTTCAATGCAAGATGGAACCCATCCTTTCATATGATGTTGGAATGGCATGACATTATCCATTAATGGATGAACAGATCATTTAATAATATGCAGATATAACCCTTAAGGCTTTAGAACACTTAAAAATATAAAACCACTTATTCAAGCAAGTATTGTATTCATCATTGGTGACTACAAATATACCATGTCTGATTTTTACATTCAGGATAAACTAACTTTTCTGCAGTTTTTATTTTTATTTACTCATTCAAAAACTCAGTGCATGAGTTTCACTTAAACTCCCTCTGCTTCTCTCCACCCACAACAAAAGTAAATTTAACTTTGGAGTGAGATCAACCATGTTGGATACCTGCCCTGAAGACATCTGAGTCATGAGTGAATGGAAAGAGGAGATTGGAATGCAAATACCTTCATTAGACTTTATCTTTATTGTAGGTTCTTCTCCTAATATAGAATAAATAGGCAATTCTCAACCAGGGGACTGAACCCCCCTGGGGGTCCACAAACAGGTTTCAGGGGGCCACCAAGCAGGGCCAACATTAGATTCACTGAGGCCCATAGCAGAAAGCTATCACCCCAAGACTCCCCACCGCTGAAGTGGAAGCTACATTGCTCAATGTAGCTTCCTGCTGCCTGTGGTGTGGTGCCCAAGTAATTGCCTTGCTTGCTACCTCTTAACACTGCCCTGGCTTTTATATGCAGAAAAACAGTTGTGGCACAGCTGGGCCACGGTTTTTTTATTGCATGTTGGAGGAGAGCACTGAAAGAAAAAGATTGAGAAACCCCTGCAATGCTTGATTGATATTGATGGTTACTTAATCCTCTAGTTCAATCTGTATGTCCTTTGATCCTATTTAAATCCTGGTTTTTTTAAAACTAGGTGATACAGATCAGATTATATCATTTGTAATTCTTTTTTGAGGTCTTAAATCTGATGGGTGCTCATGATTTTCTAGTAACATTGTCAAGGGGCTTCCTAGAATGTGATCAGTTTTCCCTTTTTGAAAAGCAGCTTTAAGAAATGGGATTTTTCATCTGTTATCCTTGCTAGATACTGAAAGAAGTGCTTGCCTGAAGACTTCAAAATTAAGGTGAAGAATGGAAGCAGTGTCAAACTCCATTGTCTTGGCAGTGGAGCTATATTGAAATCACTGGAAGCAGAACTGTTTTTAAAACAAATTATTTGCGGAAATACTATATTAAAATGGTAAAATTCTTCCAAAGTGCGTGCGTGTCTGATATTGCTGAAGTCTTTTTTTTCTGTGAGTTGCAGGAAGGAGAATCATCCTTGCCCAACTTGCTTATTGTATGTGGGGATCATGGGATGTCTGAAACAGGCAGTCATGGAGGCTCGTCAGAGGAAGAAGTACACACGCCTCTGCTATTTATCAGCTCTGCTTTTGAAAAGAGAAATGGTAAGTGTCACATACTCTAGCGAGTGTCCCTTCATGGTCACCTACTAGGACTGCTGTGAGTAGGGTTAACACCTGTCCAGGTTTTCCCAAACATCTTCTCTTCTTTTGTTCCTATGGTATCCATCCTGGCTGATTTTTGAAATGTGAGCAAATGTCCATTGTTTTTCCTTGCTAGTCCTGTTTTCAACATTGATTCTGGTAAAACTGCAATTCCTGGTGTCTCCTGATAGCAGTGTGCATGTTTACTGGTTTGATTTTGTGCTGTGGGTAGTGGCGGTGCTGCTGCCTTTGGAGCTGGGTCATGAAAGAGCAGCAGCTACTAGCTGTATGCTTATGTTCCCCAGCCCCAGTTCACCCTCTGAGTCCCTGGATAGACTCTTGCTGGGGTCACCTACTTCTTTTGTTTCACTTTTAGATAATTTTCCACAGCTCTCAAACTCCCTTCCCTTTGGACAAGAGAAAAGTGTCTTTTAGCTAGAGCAACCCTATTTTTTAACATCTGAGACTAGTTCACAGGGCACACTTCAGTGAATGTCCCCTCCACGTAGTACAGAGATTGTCAGTCACGTCCATAACATGGAACACAACTTAATTCAAACAGTTTTATGGATCCCCCCCCGGCCAATTCATAATTACCTACATGCTTGTCAAAATTACAATAATGACTCATGTGCAAGAGTAATGTTATGTAAGAATGTATTACTTTTTCTGTTGTCTGTTGCAGTGCAGCAGCTGGGAAAGAGAGGGAACTAATACTGTGTGACCAACCTTTTTTTTAAAACAGACCTCGGCGTGGGAACACATCTGATCTAGGACATGTTGACAAAATTGGAGGCTACCCAAACTTGCAGCTTGACCATCCAGATCAGAATAATTTTGTAATGTAAATCATCTTCTTCTTCTTCTAGGCCCTTTAAAACAGCCGGAACTTGTGCAACAGACAGACTTAGCAGCTACGTTGGCAATAGGTCTTGGTCTGCCAATATCAAGAAACAGTGTTGGGAATATTTTGCTCTCTGTTATAGAAGGGAAAACAATGAGAGAACAACTAAGGTTCTTGCATTTAAATGGGTTCCAGCTTAGCAGACTACTTCAGGAGAACATGCCTACATATGAAAAAGGTAAGTCAATTAAAATTATTTTTCTGGCATCCTGCTGTATCCTGTTTTTCTGTCAGCAAGAGATGCTTAAACTTCAGTTTGAGGGTTCTAGGAACAAGAATACAACACATCATTACAAACTGGTAGGTTAGTCAAGGGGAGTTCTGAGAACGGTATGTACTAAGTTAAGCATATTAGCATCTGTTATTGCATGCTGGTTTAAATTAAGGTTAATAAATTCAGGTTCAAACTGCTAACCAAAAGGGCAAAACTCCTGATCAAGTAAAGTAGGACTTTCAAGTAAATTCAGATGTGATTGAAGCTCAAGGATATGTGATTCTTCGGATAAGGCTATCTGTCAGGGGCTATTGACTTAAATTAAAGAAATAATACCAAGTGTAACTTCTGTAGTGTTGTGATAGTGAACATTTCTCAATGGAGAAACAGTAAGGAAATTAATAGTTGAGGATACACAGAGGCCTCATTCGTCACTGTCAAAGCTAGCACAGCCATCTGTTGGTTGCTGCCAGCACCTATGGGATTTTAAGAAGAGACTCTACCCTTTGGAATGTTTGGGGGATATTAGGAATAGTAGTGCCTCTGGTGGAGGAACACTCCTGGGGCACTAATTTGTTCACTTGGGTCTCCAGCTACACCCAGCTCTCACCTGTGGCCACAAATAACTGTTTGCAGTCAACAGTGGCCATGCCCCACTAAACTGCTTTGATGAGCAGGCCAAGCCAGGTGAGGGTAGCTGATGGGTCTTTTACCCCCAGCAAGGTAGGGAAACTGTCTTTGTCTAGAATGCAGATGGTTCTGGTAGACTGAGCAGAGGAAATCAATTTGTGAGTAAACATCTATGAAGGCAGTTCAGCAACATGTTGTGGGGCTTGGAGAGCATGACAAGGCATAGAAGATATCCTTGACATCCTCTGCAGCTAACGAAGTTCCCAGCTGTAACGATTCTTAGTACCAGTGGAATCTGGCTTCTGCTGCCCTGAGAGCGGGACTGCCGCCATGTAACAGCTTTCCCACTCAACCATTTCTCTCAGGTTTTTTTTTTTTTGCTTTTGCTTTATCATCTTCATTATCCCGTTATCATCATTTTATCAGATCTCACCACCATTAACGTTCTATCATTAATCCAAGTCCTTCGGCGATGCGGGGGTTGGTGAAGGAATAGATGGAGATGACCACTTGGGCAACTTCTATTTCTGCTGATGATTCTACCATACAGTAACGAAGTCTGCTTTATCCTTTATCCGCTATGTCCGTGAATCACTGCTCACTGCTTCCCGCTTGTGAAGCACGAGAAGAGAAGCTGTACAGCAGAATGAGAAATTTTTTACCTGCTAATTTTGTTTCTCTGAGCAGATTCTCATGTCGTTCAGCCAACCATGATAGTCTGGTAAATGACTGGAATAGAAAATAATGTTTTTTCTCTAAAGAGAAACTTGAAGGCAATTATATAGTTAGGTTAGTTAATGTAATTTCAAGGTTTCTGAATGTTGATAGATTGCTGGAGGGCTTCCACAGTTTTGAAAATACTCTTCTACGAATTGAACAGCGGGGCTTAGATCTGGAGGCTTGAGTACTAATTGGATCGCCTCTGAATTCTACAGAGGAGATGCATTACTCATTTGTGATGAAGAGGAGCTTCTAACGAAAAATTAGCAGAGACAAGAAACGTCTCAATCGAGGAGATGGGTGATGAGTTGAAGCTTACAAGCACTGTGTTTTGTCCAGTGAAATACTATGGTACCTTGAGTGTAATTTCAGATGATGGATATAACTATAAAGTAACACATTTTGCTAAAAGTAGTCTGAACTTTTCTCATCCCTTAAGTCCAAACACAGTAGGATCCTTTGAAGGGGAAAATGAGCAAGGAATAACTGAGGCTAAGGTAGTCATCTGAAAAAAAATCTGTCCAGTGTGTAGCATCAGCAAGAAATGTATTGAATTAGATGCTTGGGTGTCTGGAAAATGTACTGAATGTTGGAATGCTCTATTTGTAAAAGTATTATCGAGAATCCCTTGGAGTTGGGGATGATTATCTTTCACGAGGTGTCCATTTCAAATTATCGGTGGGTCCACTGATGGCTGATGAGGCCTATTCTGGAACTGCAGAATCTGCCACATTACAGATGTGTTTTTGAGTAGGGCGAGTGACTTTGGGGTATTAGAATGCTCTTTCTGTCACTTCCATTCTTCTGTTACATATAGTTATATCTGGTTTTGGACGTGCTCAGTTCCCGGTCTGAAGCAGTTCCTCCATTGTAGTCTGTCATGGGTTATCTGTTCCCATGAATTGATACCAATGTTGTGTTTCCTCATATTGGTCTAGAGGATGTCTCTTCAACGTTTTTTCTGTTTGAATAAGTTGAGAGAGTAGAAGACTTGCTTTGGCAAACTGGAATCGGGCATCTGGACAACATGGCTTGCCTGGTGAAATTGATGATAAATAATCATTACCTCAATATTCATAATACTGTATTAGCTTGTGAGAGAATGCTAATGTTAGTGTGTCTGTCATCACATTTGGTTGGAGAATGTTACATATACAATGTTGATACTTCTGCAGCGCCTTAAGAAGTCTCCTCTGTGTTGTCTGTTTCAGACCACACGGTAATGTGGGGATCAAACAGTTTTAAATACTACGAGTTTGGTTTTGGTTCCAGTGTTGAAATCTTATAACACCCTCTTTCTCAGATGACTAAAAGCTTGGCTTGCACATTTGAGCAGGTACTGTATGTCTTCATCCATATCATACCAACATCTGTGAGAGGTAGCTTTGAAGTTATGGGATGTGTGGAAAATTCCCTATAGGGTTATCATGGCTCTGTACTGCTGGTGCTGGGAATTGTGCACCAGGAGCTTGCTGATGAAGGACTTTTTTCTTCTGGATGTTAAGTGCAAGTCTCATTTTCTGATATGCATCAGCAAAGATGTTGATGGTTGCTTAAAGATCTATTTTTGAGTCAGCACACACTGCTGCACCATCAACATACTGAAGCTCAGCGACTGAAGATGTCAATTTTGATTTTGAATTGGAAGCCGCCAAAGTTGAACAGCTTGCCATCCATTTGGCAGATTAGCTACAATCCTACAAGCATCTTATCGGAGATATAATAAAGCACTGCAGCAAGGAAGATAGAGAAGAATGTCAGGGTAGTGACATAGCCCTCTTTAACACCTGTCTTATCCTTAAAAGGAGCCATAGTAAATGCATTCCTGAGGGTCACCGCTTGCATTTTGTCACGAAGGAGCCGAAGAATGATGACACATTTCGGTGGACATCCATACTTCAGAAGTATTTTCTTCAATGCTTCTCTGTTAATGGAGTCAAAGGCTTTTATCTGTTCAATTAATTCCAGGTATAGTGGTTAATGTTTTCTGCATGTTTCCTGAAGCTGAAGAGCAGTGAAGATAACATCAGTTGTGCCCCTAGATGGTCTAAACCAGGGGTGGGCAATCATTTTTGGCCAGGGGCTACTTCAAAAATTTTTGAAGTTGCCCTCAGCCGCTTTGTAAGGGGCGGGGCCAGGATGCTTCTGGACTTCCTCACCCACAGACCATGATTGGTTTGGGGGTAGGAGGAGCCCCTTTACCCCCCCTTCCCACTAGGCACCTATGCCCCCAGCGGGGCTGGAAGAGGCTCCAAAGCCTCCTCCTGCCCTACCCCCACCCTGCGAGGAGCACATGGAATTTCGCTCCTCATAGGGCCGGGGCAGGGTGAAGGAAGCTTTGCACGGCTCCTCCCGCTCCCCCACCCCCAGGCCAATCAGCACCTGGAGGCGGGGGAGTGTGTAAAGCTCTTTGAAGTGCTGCATGCTCCTCATAGGGCCGGGGCAGGGTGAAGGAAGCTTTGCACGGCTCCTCCTTCCCCAGGCCCTGATTGGCTTGGGGGTAAGGGGAGCACGTGAAGCCTCCTGTCAACCTACCCCCACCCTGCGAGGAGCACATGGAATTTCAAAGTGCCATGCGCTCCTCGCAGGGTGGGAGGAGGCTTCGCGCGCTCCCCAGGCCAATCAGGGCCTGGGGACGGTGGAGTGGTGCAAAACTGCCCCCACCCTTCACTAGCATACGGCACTTTGAAGTGCTGCGTGCTACTTGCAGGGTGGGGGGGAGGACGGAGGAAGCTTCATTCCCCAGGCCCTGATTGGCTTGGGGGTAAGGGGAGCACGTGAAGCCTCCTGTCAACCTACCCCCACCCTGCGAGGAGCACATGGAATTTCAAAGTGCCATGCGCTCCTCGCAGGGTGGGAGGAGGCTTCGCGCGCTCCCCAGGCCAATCAGGGCTTGGGGACAGGGGAGCGCGGGATGTCTCCTCCGCCCTGCGAGGATCGCATGGCACTTCAAAGCGCTTCTCGCGCTCCTCTGCCCCCAGACCCTAATTGACCTGGTGGTGAGGGAGTGGCAGGGCCTTCGCAGGCCAGATCAAGCCACTTGGCTGGCCAGATCCAGCCCACGGAGGCTCTTTTGCCCATCCCTGGTCTAAACTCACACTGAGATTTAGGAAGAATGTCTTTGACAAGAGGAGTAGGATGGTTCAGAGATGCTAACAGAGAGATTCCTATATAATTTCCACAGTTGGATTTATCTCCTTTCTTGAAAATCATCACAATCGTTGCATCTTGAAGTTCAATTGGGATTCTCTTTTGGTTCTGGGGTTTCAAAGCAAGATTATGTAGCGGTGAGGTGAGTTCCTCTCCCCACTGCTTGTAAATTTCATCATTGCCAGTTGCCTTGTTGTTCTCTGTCTGCTTAATAGCTCTGTACATGTCTTCCAAGATTGGAGGTTTTCGTAGTTGATCTCTGATCTGATGTTTGTAAGATGAAGGTGAAGACATTGCCATCAGTGACAGAATCCTGATTGAGGAGATCTTTGAGGTGTTGCTTCCAGCGTGTGTTCATGGTTTCCATTTTTGATCAGCTTCCCTCCATCTTTAGATCAAAGGGGATTGGACCTGGGTACATGGGTCATAAACGGTTTTAACAGCATTAAAGAAGTCACAGATAT